CTCTCTCCCTCTCTCTCCTTCTCTCTCTCTCTCTCTCTCCCTCTCTCTCTCTCTCGCTCTCATCTCTCACGCTCTCTCTCTTCACTCTCTCTTTCTCTCTCTCTCTCTCCTACGTGTATCTCTCTTCTTTCTCTTCTCTCTCTCTCTCTCTCTCTTCTCTCTCTCTCTCCTCTCTCTCTCTCTCTCTCGCTCTCTCTCGCTCGCTCTCTCTCTCTTTTCTCTCTCGCTCTCTCTTCTCTCTCATCTCTCTCGCCTCGCTCTCTCTCTTCTCACGGCTCTCTCTTCTCTCTCTTTCTTTCTCCCGTATCGCTCTCTTCTCTCTCTCTCTCTCTCTCTCTCTCTCTCTCTCTCTCTCTCCTTCGCTCTTTCGCTCTCTCGCTCTCGCTCTCGCTCTCGCATATCGGTCCAGTTTTCGCAGTTTTTTTTTTGTACGCGATTCAAACGGCGTCGGCTGGAACGGCGATAGAGCGACAGCGGCAGGCGCTCGGCATTCTCACCCTCTTGTTACGAAAGAAGTGCGCAGCCGGCTCCAAGTTTCCTTAAGAGCGAAAGCAGCGAGAGCGTGTGCAGCAGTGAAGCTTTCGAATCGCTTACAGGCATTTCAACTGCTGGCAACGCATGGAGCAATCAACGCGCGGAAATAGGCGCCGCGTTTCTGCTTGTAATGTATTACGCGAGCCATCTCGTCCGTCGCGGCGCGTCGATGAAACTCCGGTGTGCTCTGAATTAGAGAACACACATTACAAGCCTTCCATAGCGAAGATTTCCGCCTAGGCGTTCAATTCTGCGGTGTCTCCGTTATATTATTACATCGCAGCCACGGTGACTTATTTGATATTGTCGGATATCTCGAAAAAAAGCGTCGATTTAAAAAATCTGTTCCAGTCCAAAGGGCGAGCACAAGAAAACATTATTCGAATACGGATATCAACATCTGCGAGGTTTTCACGCAACTTCGCGCTGTCTGACGTGTGGCGCCACCTGGTTGCTGCGGCGACTTCTTAATGCAAGGCGATATGTGCCGGCAGCTTAAATTCTTCTTTGCTAAATCTGCTAGCTAAAAAAAAGAATAACAAACCAAAAACACATTTAGAATCCAGCTTATGAACAACATAAATTTAATAAAAAGCAAAGCGAATCATTAGCCACCCTTAATGTATTCGACATCCGTGCGGCCAATGACGGTTTCATGCATAATTACACACCGTAGATTATTCTGATAAATCGTGACAATCAGCTTAAAGCGGGAACACGTCCGCCAAACTAACATAATGACTAAGGCGGTTTTTTTACGGGCTACTTACTTAGTCTCCAAGTATAGAATATAGCTGATAAATGAGTAAGAACCTCATAGCAACTAATCGTTCCCATCCTGACTCTCAAATTCCGCGCGAATCAGTTTTCGATTGCCTTCCCACTTGGTGTCCTTCACTCCCACATCAGACATATCCTGCACATATCCTGCCACATTATCCTGCACATATCATGCCCACATATCATGCACAGTATCCATGCACATATCCTGCCCATATCCTGCACATATCCTGCCACTATCCTTGCCACATATGCCTACACAATATCCCTGCCATCCTGCGCAAATCTTCTGCCACATTATCCTGCACATATCCCTGCACATATCCTGCCCACATATCCCTGCACCTAATCCTGCACATATCCTGCCACATATAGAGAGCGCGCGCGCGCGACTGCCACAAGAAGGAAAAGGCATTTGCTATACAAACACGCGAGACGGAAACCATAACTCGCGATCATGGCGAGCGTAATCGTCGTGGAAAAAGACTCGATCAAACAGCGAATCATTCATCACACACAACAGCTGCGTCGGTTTATTGCGTCGGATTGGCAGATCCATCAACAATCGAAAGTTAGCAGCGCGTATATGCGTCGTAGACATAGTGGTTAGACAATCGTAGTGTACGTAATAGATCATTAATATATCATTCTAATAGCTCTGAAGAGCAGGAACGATCGAGCGTGGACAAACCGTATTATATAACAAGCGCGAATTTTACAGATGAACGAACCCAGATGACTGTTTGATCATGCGATGCAGTTTGATTCTTAGATGTAGAAGTTCGCATTTCGACATAGGCCTTAATTGTTACTTCTCTACTATACGGCTAGTAACAACGTAATATTCGTTTCTCTATCACAGCCATAATATCTCCGAAATCAACAAGGATTTAACCATAACTAACGCCACCGCCATAGCTACCTCCGATACCTCCATAGCTACCCCCAATACCTCCGTAGCTGCCCCCGCCAACACCTCCGTAGCTACCACCTCCGTAGCCACCGCCAATACTTCCGTAGCTACCGCCTCCGTAACTACCGCCTCCGTAGCCACCGCCTCCATAGCCACCGCCTCCATAGCCACCGCCTCCAAAGCCACCCCCACCCCCAATACCGCCATAGCCACCGCCTCCTCCTCCTCTTCCGATGTAGCCTATGATGGGCCTGCGGATGGCTCTGTTAACGCCGAGCTGCGGGCGCACGTAGTTGTGACCTTTCTTGTAGGAGAACTCGTAGCCGCTGGTCTTCGTTCGCTCGTTCTTCTTGTTGCTCTCGTCCTTGTCGTAGTCCGACAGCGTTCCCGTCTTTTTGTAGTTCACGGATTCGGCTGCAGTGTTCGCAGCGCCACCTCCCCTCGTGCCGTAAGCGTAGCCACCCTTGTCGTAGGTGACGTCATACGGGCCGCCTCTTCCTCCGCCGGCCCCGCCGCCGCCGCTTTGTCCGTAACCAGAGCCGTAACTTGATCCTAACTAGATTGAATGAGAACAATAGTAATTTGAATCGATTGATTCGAGTGATTCAAAGAACGCGTAAAAATGAAATGTGCTATACGTTAATGTGGCGGTATATTGGTGGGAGGTTTTTCGTTAGTTGAATGACTTTATCACGAACATATTTATCAGGTAGGCAAAAAGGAATTTTTTGAACAAATTAGAATATAAAGCAAATATAATAAGGTATAATTACCAGTAGGGCTAAGCCTATTAACGTAAGAAGTACTTTCATGGCTGCCTGTAAAAAAAGATAAATGGTTAGTTTTATTATTAAAGCTATCCTCAAGGTAGCGTATTTTCACGAGGTGATTTCAGTTTTATTCAATATTTTATAAAAACCAATATAAAAACATAAAATGAGTGACCATTACGGATACATTAGTTTAATGACCACACGTTTTACATACGTGCAGCGATGTGACTATTCGCTGAAACCAGCACAGATGCATTAACTTATATTACGTCTTAGAAACAATTTTACGCCGCCGACAATCGACTAACTGCACTCAGTAAAAGCGAACGCACTTTAGCAGCAATTTTTGCGCGACAATATTTTCGCATTTTTACGTTCGTTTTTTTCTTGTCAGCGACGTGAATGACCGCACGCTTAAAATTCATTACACTAACTCGCTCGCCACGCATCTCAGGCGTCAGGTAAACCCACGCCAGCGTTGCCGTACGCATGCAACGTCAACCGAATCGAGTCGCGTGCAAAAACCGAACCCGAAACTGTAACCGAATGCAGTTAAAAGCACCTACCTGGATGCGAATGCAGGGCGTCGGACGTGTGACTTCAGATGACGAAGAAGATGAGGAAGTGCGGAGACGCGGGTTACACGCTCATGTTTTATACCGTGACGACGATGACGACGTTTGCCGGTGCGCTGCTCTGCACGCGCCGCGAATTAGGTCGTTCGAAAGCGCGTCGAATTATCATCGCTATCACCTTAGCTCGCGACACTTTTTGCAGCGTCACACGTCGCCCGTCGCGTCGCGATCGACCGGTAAAAAAAAATTGGAATAAGATGAGAGGGGCGTAACGGTCGATTCACCAGCGGAGATGGCGTCTGTAATTTTCGAATAGTGAGCGTCTCTGTCCGTCGTAACGCCCACGTGACAGCGTTGCACCGCAAAACGTTAAGTGCCCCCCGCTTATTATGCGAGTTAGCGGCCGTTCTGGTGGTAAATTGTGTTCACGGTATAGCGTGAGTTTGTGCTTCGCCCACACACCGTCGTCCGGCTTCAGATAGTAGTGAGACGAGCGTGTGTCGGGTGATGAAATAATGTATACAAAGAGAGAGAGAGAGAGAGGAAGAGAGAGATGAGAGAGAGAGAAGGAGGAGTTAGAGAGAGAGAGAGAAAGAGAGAGAAGAGAGGAGAAAGCGAGAGGAGAGGAGAGTAGAGAGAGAGACGAGAGAGAGAGAGAGAGAGAGAGAGAGAGAGAGAGAGAGAGAGAGAGAGAAAGAGAGCGAGAGGAGAGAAGAGAGAGAGAGAGAAAGAGAGAGAGAGAGAGAGGAAAGAGAGAGAGAGAGAGAGAGAAAGACAGACATAACGACAGAGAGACAGAGCAGACAGACAGAGATAGAGAGAGAGAAAGAGAGAGAGAGAGAAAAAGAGAGAGAGAGAGAGAGGAGAGAGAGAAGAGACAGAGAGTGTGTAGAGCAGAGACATGAGAGATGAGAGAGAGAGAGGAGAGAGAGAGAGAGAGAGAGCGTGCGAGAGAGAGAGAGAGAGCGGGGAAGAGAGAGAGAGAGAGAGAGAGAGAGAGAGAGCGAGGAAAGAGAGAGAGAGAGAGAGAGGAGAGCGAGGAGAGAGAGAGAGAGAGCAGAGAAGAGAGAGGAGAGAGAGGGAGAGCGGTGGGTAATCTCTCTAACGCCTACTCGCTCTTCAACGGCTATGTAAGTATAGTGGTACATCGAGGACAGGCGCAATATGGCTGGTCGCATAACACTGGGGTAATCATACAAACACGGTAATAATAAATTCATCCCCGCACCACGGGAGCCCTATTCCCCTCTATTCTCTCCTCCCCTTCTCTCTCTGGTTCTCCAATTATTGACTGTTATAGAAGCGTCAATATGCGGCTCTCGCGTTACCGCGTCAACTTTACGTCTGCCATATAGGCACGTGACAGCGGTAATATAATAGTTATGCTACGAGCACTAAACAGTCCGCGAATCGGGTTGCCCTCGGTTCAAACGAAGCGAAAGTGGGCTAGTGGTCGGAGCGTGGTGGACCATGGGCTAAAGTGTGTAGCGTAAAGAATGACAACTCACGTGTAGTAATATTATGTGTGTAATGTTTATTAGTGCCAACAAACCCGATTCCACGTCATACTTATACAGACCTAGATAATAACAGCAATTGAAAGTTCGCATTCCGAGGAAACGTTCTACATAGCCGATCGGTTTTCGGATTTTATTATAGAGCGTATTTGGGCAAACGAAAAACATTTCCGTACAACAACTGTAACTTCTAATCACGTGCGAAAACATGATACGTTAGCAAGCAACTCGTCCCCGCATGAGAGCAAACTAGGAGAACGAACCGAAAATAAAAGAGTTACTGTTGGCAAATAACAAACACGTTAAACGGGGAGTTACTTTGATGAGTTATTATGTTGGTTCTTTTTTTTCATGCAAATAAAAAA